GGCCATCCGGAGGTTAGGGTTGAGTCAGAACACGCATTGTGCCGTGGCTTGAGCGAGCTATTCCACGATCCGAATCCAAGTTTTGAGAGTGGAGCTTTTAAAGAGGGGAAACAGGGCTGTGGTAGCACTAGGTTGAGACACTATTACCTGAATTCAAGCGATTGAAAGAGCCTTTTCTCAGGGAACTTCCTCAGTTGTGATCCCGTTGTTACATTTGGGGGTCATTTACATGTTCTTACGCTTTTAACAGCCATAAATATCTTCATACAAGGCCATTTGTATAAAAGAAAGCAGTGACGGAAGTTCGAAGTTTTTACTTTCTGGCAAAACTTTCTTTTTATCCTTAGCCCTGCTATTTGAGAAAATCGCCCGTTGTGATGTGGTGCGACCCCTTCTAGTAGACACGAAGAACCCACCCCACCGATTCTCCCGCGGAGGTAGTGTGAAGGTGCAACTTCTAGATAGGGCTTCCTCCGTGCAAGCAGATGTGCTCCTGCGATCAGAAAGGTCCGGAAGTGTATTTTCATCTGTTTATTAATTCATGACGTGTTGGCGGCCATCGAACTTCCTGTCATCGGCTGTTCCCCGCTGTTTAGCTTGCAGGTTGCTTCTGACTTGTGTGTGTGTGTGTCTCTTCAGGTAGTCTTTCATCATTCAAGCTGAATGACATCTGAGTTTCGCTGCACTCCCTACAGAAAGGGCCCTGCGCTTACGACCCTCCCCCTGCTCACTTCCGAGGTCATACACGACCCCCTTTTGTGATCATCACAACGATGGCATGTTCAGAAGATAAGCGTGAAGGAAACAGGGGCGGCTGCCAAGAAGATGAAGCCAGGCAAGGCAACGGGCCCTGACGACATGGCGGCCGAAGTATGGGAGTCACACTGCTGGCATTCTGCCGAATGTTGTCAATATTTTTTGATTCAGGTTCGTTGCAGAAGGAGAAAATGCCCGAAGTTATGGCACGAGACAGCACGCCGTTTCCGAGTCTGCGAAGAAAATAGGGTTCCTGCAGACTGCTCGATTGCTCGTCAATTCGCTGACTCTCGCACGAGCATAAAAGACTGTTGAGCGGAATTGTTAGAGACTAATTCGGTGGCGGAGAGTCCGTCCTCTGCGTAGTGCCCATACACAATTCTTGTCACAGGCGAAGCTACTCTCCAACGACAATTGATACGACGTTTGTCACTTCGAAGCAGAAGTGTCAGTTGGATCCAATACGCTCCCGAGGCGCTGGGAGCGCGGTTCGTTGATGGGAAAAAAGGATGATCTTACTCCAACCCTCGTTGTTCATTATGAAGTGCCGGCCTTTATGTTGAATGGCGATAACTCATATTTAGACTTAACAATCAATATAGTAAACGGCGACATTAGATTGTTATAATGGAACCTGACTTCAACTTCGACGTGATTGTTTCCATAGTGTGGTGCAAATGTTTGCATTAAGGGACTTAATCACTAAACATTGCTAACATTTTGTTTTGATACGTGAAAAAATATCGGACATGGTAGAAATGCTTTTGTGTGACGGTCTTAATGAGGGCTTTGCAGCCAGTATAGTCAATGCATTAACATAAATAAATTTTTATGCTACCAGTACTTCATTGCGACTTATTATAAAACATGAGTAAACAGTCAAAAATGTTCTCAGTGTTATTGATAGTCAAGAGTAATTTTTTTGCTTCTCAACCAACGATAGGTTAAAGTAGTTGTCAAGTCACTCTGCTTGATGAGAGGACGCAGACGAGCAGAGCAGAACATGGGTGTAGGGTGCGTTCACACTTCAGGACTTGGGCGTTTGAGTCACGCGATTCGCGAACTTTATGACTATTGACTATTACCGACAGCGCTGTACTGCTCCATGTACCTCTGCAGGTGCCAATTCATTTGTAATCAGGATAGAATTGCTTTAGACACTTCTGTCCTGAATGCAGCTGTCCAACGATTGTCGCTGGAGCGCGGTTGGTGGCAGCCGTCTGGTTCTTAAATGACCGAGTTTGGACATATCCTCACTCCAGCCCCTAGTGCACTTGGATCAAGCAGAACAAGTTGATAAGGAATATGGGGAACGTACCAATTGGCACACAGGATCTTGGTTTGCAGTCTCTCTCGTAACAGCTAAAGAGTTGTCATGGAACCGAACCTAGTCTACGAAAAATGCAGTAAAAACTGGCAGATGAAAGTCAGTCCGCAGCTGCTCCTCGACGAAAAGCGATATTATTACAAAACAGGCAATGGAATGGGTAAGCCTTGTCGTGTGCTAGCATAAGGTGGGTCGTACTGCTTGACTGGGCGACTTCTCCCAAGGTACGAACGCTTTTTGCATGTCTCCACATTTATGGAGAGACAGTGTAAAATGTGCTTTCGAAAGGAGACAATCTTGTTGAGGCGATATGGAGGATCGATTTCGTTCTGTGTAAAGTTCTTCAAGTTTCTTCTTCTTCAGCACGTAATTTCACGGGAATGATGAACAGCGTTGCAAATGGAATACCATCTTTTTCTCGATAAGTCAACGCTCTGCTCTGACTCATCAAGGCAGGCCCAAAGGAGCAGTGCGCTGTGGAATATGCTGGACAGAGCATCAGTAACGCCATTGAAGTGAAATTTTGTCTGTTAGCAACAGAAGAAGGTGGGATGAACGAGCCAGCTTCGCGACATCCTCACTGGCGGAGCCACCATTTTAAGCAACCCGTCTTCATGTCGCAGAAACCTGTACCATTCCACAGCTGGATAGTGCAGCGAGGACGCCTCCACAGCTGGATAGTGAGTGCGGAGGACGCTACGGTCATCGATGGCCAATCGAAGAGTTTCTCCCGACACATTCGTGGCTGTAATACACCACTTACACATGGGTGGATCCTGCCACCCAGGGCTTTCAGTGCGAAAAGTGTCCTTAAATTACCGGGCCGTCGCTTGTTTCATACGATAATCGATGTCAGTATTCGGAAAAACGACGTGACTGAACTGCCATAAAAAGTGTAAATTGTATTTCAATCAGTTGTGTAATTCAAATTTTGAGAACAATTCTGATAATGGGCTATAAAACAAGACATTTGGATAGCCTGCGATTTAAGAGCCCTGTGGGCTGACCTCCATCATCACATGAAACTTCCATCATGGAACTTTTAATTTTCGTTCTCGTTGTCATTGGTGTTAGCCAGGTATGTTCTTAGTTGCACCATAAAATGAGTTTTCCTTTGGGATTCAACAGAGTAAGGAACGGAAATACCGTGAAGCTGACATTCTGTTTGAAGGCATGCGCACCAGCACCACACCCTATATATGTTGGAAGAGGGACCCGATACGGCGGAATGTCAGTTTTAGTCACCGATGCTGTATTTGATCCAGCTAAAATCAACGAGTACATGGGCTATTGGCCAAAAACACTGGTCAGTAACAACATATCCATCCTCTCAATCGCTCAGGTCTTTTTGGAAATTGGAAATTGTTTCAGATTCCAGAGTACGCCAACCTGCTCGGTGATCTCACAAAGCACTCCTGGACAAATCACAACGGCAAATTTGCCTATACGTTCACCATTGAGAATTCTGATTGTTACAAGGTATTGCGCGCACGGTGCCAGCAACAGCTTTCCTAGTGCATTAGTACAGGGTGAGCAATAATTTGTGGCAACTCCGGAAAATCGCCAAATCTAAGATAGGTCGTGAATGAAAGTGCGTGGAAACGAGAATCCGCAGTCAATGCTACCCCACCTTGAGCCGCTTGTGGAAGGAATCCGTCGTGCAAGTAAGCCTGGTCAGGCTCGCAAGCTGCGCCTCCCGTGCGGTGAGCTGCTAACATGAGATGGACAATTATCAGCGTTGCCGTCATTGCCTTCTGAGGGGAATGAGTTTAGTCAGCAG